CTAATTTAGACGTGGGTGGACTCCTCGTGTGCCGTTCCGACTTTTTAGGTGTTTGTAACTCGCTACAACAGCCCATTAGAGTCTGCACAGTGTCTTTGTGTACGATGGATGCTCGTGTTAATGAGCGTCATAGAGAGAAACTTTCACAGCCCATTTCATGAATGCCTTTGCTTGGACGTAGTCCGTTAAGTTAGGCTCACGCCCGCGGCGCGTATCTGCAAAAAAGCGCATACAGCCAGGGGGGCAGCTGTGGCTGGATACGCGGCAGCGCTATGCAGCGCATCGGGGCCCAATAGACCACAATGGGGCCACAGAATCAAAATGCAACGACGACTTGACACACTTCTCTTGAGATGGCGATTTATTGAAGATGCGTTCACTTGACACCAGGCGGAGAGCCCACCGAAGCAGCGCCGCTCCCACGCATCTCGCCCTTATATACCAACACGAGGCCACGCACCCCTTCTCGATCATTCTCGCTGACTCTGGACGCTTTCTCCACCGGCAGACCCCACCCTCCTCTTCCATCACCTGACCACGCCCCCTACTCGAACATTCCCGTAGCCACCAGCCCCTTCACACTCACAGCTGACTCCACTGTCATTACCTCCCATGGCCACTAGTCCACTCACAGTAGAGCATATAGGCTCCACTCTCATTACATAAAGATGAAATGTTCGCTGTTTGGCGTTGTTCTCTCGTCTAACACTGAAACAAAGCCATTTAAAAGACAATGCATACATTATTATTATTTCTTTCATCCGAGCATGTTTGTTGCATTTTTTTCCACAAGTACTAATGCAGACTTGGTGATACCTTTCAAAAGTTGCTTCTATTTGGTGTTTGAACTTCTTAACACAACTCTTGTTTCATTGTCAGAAAGGTTAAGCATCCATCATATTTTCATCAACAAATAAAAAATGAAAATAAACATAAAAAAGAATATTCATAAAAAAAAATTACCTGCGGTCTACCATGGAACCAAGGCTGACTAACCTCACAGCTGTGGCTATTCGTAGCAACAGAGCGGCATGAAGTTATCGCGATCCACCAACCCGTTTTGAGTGATGGGGCCGTAATGAAAGGAAGACGAATGATAACTACGTTGTGAGTAATGTACCTTAAAAATATTGTATTTATAAACTGTCACTGTGAGAACTGTCTTCCTTTAAACCCAATACACGGGTGCAACTAAAATAATTTGAAATAAATGTAATGACAATCGAGCCTGCTTGCGGTGTGAGGGGACTAATGGCCACGGGAGGTAATGACAGGGGGAGTCAGTTGTGAGTGTGAAGGGACTGGTGGCCACGGAAGGTAATGACAGGGGGAGTCAGTTGTGAGTGTGAAGGGACTGGTGGCCACGGGAGGTAATGACAGGGGAGTCAGTGGTGAGTGTGAACGGACTGGTGGCCACGGGAGGTAATGACAGGGGAGTCAGTGGTAAGTGTTAAGAGACTGGTGGCTACGGGAATGTTCGAGAAGGGAGCGTGGTCAGGTGACGGAAGAGGAGGGTGGAGTCCGCTGGTGGAGCTATCGTCCGGATCCAGTGAGAATGAACTAGAAGGGGGGCGTGTCCTCGTGTTGGTATATAAGGGGTTAGATGAGCGGGAGACTCCGGGATGCTGTGGTGGGGATCTTCGCCTGATTTCAAGTGAACGCATCTTCAGTAAAGCGCCATCTCAAGAGAAGTGTGTGAAATCGTCATTACAGATGGATGTAGTTCTAGCCTGTATATGGGTCAACAACATCCGCGGGTATTTCAGGGAAAAATGAGTCGGGAGAAAGGATGGGGTGCCCAGAGTCGTGTCTTGCAAAGCCACCCAGTCCGTTAAAATGGTGGTTGCGCTGTAACAGGGTATATTGAATCCGAGACAGAATGAATAACTTATATTAATGTGCTGTAGGCCCATGCACGGGGCATTGGGCATGGCATTGCCCACATAAGGAATAGTGGAACGGGAATCGATGGATTACACTGGTCTACCATTTTTTATACATCGCCTGCTTCAGAGATGAAACGTGCTGTTTGTTATGGATTTCTACGTACTGAATTCTACTATGACAAAAAAACCTGACTGGCTACTGTTCCCAAGATATTCAAGTTTTTTTTTTACATTTTACGTATATGTATATTGTGTTAATAGTAGAGTTTAACTCATAAATTGTAAACCTATTGTCGGTCTGTTCATCTGTTTATGGTCGCTTTACATGATAATGTCACCCGTCCTGTCCATGTAACACTTAAAAAATCAGCAAAATATATTATAAAACAAAAGGCAAAAAATATATGATTACGTATATTTGGCATGACTCTTGTATTCAATATAAATGATCCAAGAGTCGAACGTTTATATCTTGATCGAAAGAGACGATTTGTTGATCAAAACGTCCCACAGCCGGCCGCCCCTTGACGCTGATTGGCCAACCCTGAGCATTAACATATGTTATCATTCATTCTGTCGCGGATTCGTTATGTCCTATTACAGGTGCTGACTTGAACGACCACAGCCTCATTGCAGTCACTGTCCCATACCCTCCCACGTGATGCGGGAGTTCTGCACGGGAGAGGAGGAGGGGTGAGGGGAAGGCCCCTCCCTCCTCTCCCAGCTTGCTTGTCATTGGTGGGTTGGGTGGAGGGAGCTGATTGGGCACGAGTGACTGGGGAGGAGAGGAGCCATGGTGAGAGTGGGGGAGGAGCCATTAGCCCCAGCCTGCTTGTCATTGGTGGGTTGAGAAGAGGGAAGTCAGTGGGCATGAGTGACAGGGGAGAGGAGGAGCCCCAGTGAGAGAGAGAGAAAGACAGGAGGGGAGGAGCCACTCGAGCCAGCCAGCTTGTCATTGGTGAGTTAGAGAGAGGGAGGTGACTGTGACATGATTGACAGGGTAGGGAAGGAGCCATGGAGAGCGGGGGAGGAGCCACTCGCTCCAGCCTGCTTGTCATTGGTGGGTTTGGGAGTGGCAGGTGATTGGAGCATTAGTGACAGGGGAGGGGAGGAGCCATAGAGGGGAGGGGAGGAGCCACCCTCTCCAGCCTGCTTGTCATTGCTCGATGAGGGAGAGGGAGGTGACAGGTGCATGATTAACAGGGGAGGGGGCCCCACAAAGAAAGACACAGGGTATGAGGAGCCAGGAGGAGGGAGGATAGACTATTGGTGGCAGTGTCACACGATTTAGTCGATTCCAAGTATCACTTGCCAATTAATGGGATTGCCACTATATCGATATTTTCAAGATTGCTGCCCGATCAACTGTGAGCTGGCTGCCGGATCGACTGAGCTGAATCGATACAATTATCCTCGAATCACGATCCACAGTGACCATATATGGGCAAAGACACGCCCCCTTCGGCCGCCACCACGGCTTGCTTCCTTCCATATATATGGGAGGCAAATGTCTGATCGGGTGTCAGATCTCGTCAGTCTCTTACAGCGAGCGCAGGAGCTGCAGGCCTAACACCAGGTGGAAACCTGCCCCTTCACCTGAAAAAGCACGCGGTGGTGGATTGTGGGTTGACCCCGTGGGTCTGGCACGAATCCTGCTGAGCCTGGAGGTGCTGAGAAAGTGGCGGTTGGCAGTGTAGTCGATGATGGTCGCTTGGGTCAGATGGCGTAAAAATATGAATGCATCGTTAAACCCGCCAACACCCGACAGAGCCAATTAGTAAAGTTTGTCACGTAAATAGAACATGGCCAGTTCGTTACTGGTACAACACTAGCGTATAGTGTAGTGTATAGCGTAGTACAGCACACCGGTGTGTTGGAGAGCAAAGCCACAACATTTACAATCTGGGTAACGTGACGTTTCGCCAGTATTTACAACTCGCTTCATCAGGCGACAGCCAGATTTGTGGAGAAATCCTCGGGGTTCGTTCCTTAAATAGAGGGATAGGTTTGATGGCATCACTTGTGAGCACCACTTGAGCGATCTGGGGGGGGGGGGGATTCATGAATGCATATAAATGACAATGGGTATTCATTGCCTGTCGCGAATGCCTACGTGTTAAACTGATGATAGTCTTGCTTAGGAGGGAACAATGCAGTCAAATATTGTGGAGTCAGAAACAGACACAGGAGCCGATTTCAAAACATCTTTGTTGTTCCGTTGTATTCAGGTGGGCGCACATTGAGCCGAGAAGCGGGACCATGGTCATTGAACACTTTTGCCTCGGCCATCGACAAAGATGGTCACTGCATCGCTCGCTTTCAGATGCTCTTCTGCGGCCGTCTGGAACGCCCCTTCCGATATTAGGAAGCCGCTGGGAGCTATCCACGTTTAAATCATCATCTAGTACTCATTTACTTGAAAGTGATGTTTGTGTTTAGTTTGTTGTCCTTCACCCACACCTCCGATGAGCACGGTTGGCTACGTACGACGCAAAATACGTTCAACACACAGTGCATACGTGAGGCAGTGGCGGCTTGTGACATTTCCACTAGACGGGGCTGTTGTGAAACTATGGCGTTCTAATTTAGCAAAAACCTCACCATGTTATTGGCCTTCCCGTGCAAGTGATATGACCGTCTTATCTACCCACGGTAGGTATTTACGAACAATATGAATTAAAACAACAAAGCACTCAAACGCTGTCAATATGACACTGAAGGCCAACACTACACAACCTCTTTGACACTGACAAAAACCTAAAGTGTGGAGGACGCCTTCACAGTCGCCCCGTGGCACAAATCAGAATGTGGTGTTGCAGCAGTTTATAATATGAACTTAAAATGTTATCTTCAATAGGCAATTCACGTTAAACTAATCATTATATTTTGATGTTTTTAAACACAACACAACACAACAATTTATAGAAAAGCATTTTTACTTTAAAAAATAATTCATCATCTCAATCTGCTTGGTGGAATGGGGCCCCAACGCCCCTAATGGATGAACCGCGCCTGACACGAGGTTAGATATTGAAACACCTAAAGACTTTTGGTGAAAGAGGATCGATCACCTTGTTAAGTAACTGTGGATTTTTAAACGACGACCTCGTTCTTTTAAAAATTCTTAATACAAGCGGTGCCATTGTTGTAAATAGATTATATTTTTCTCTATTTGTCCGTCATTCTGTCCTGCCACTACCCTGTACATTTTTATTGAGTTTGTGTCTCGGGAAAAAGCCGAATTACCCACAAGATGTCATAGTCCATAAATCAGGGTTCGAAATCAGATGAGGCCCATTAAGTGAATGAGACATTTTTATTTTGGAATAAAATGTTCCTTATCGATATTTAATTTTGCTTGCTTACTCAGGAAAGCCTCGCTGAGTCTCTGTGCTATTTTCTGCAAGAATCCCGCAAAATGTTGGGAGAAGCGGGCGATGTTGCTCGATGCGATCCCAAGTGATTATTTTATTTATTTATTTGCAGGCCAATTCCAGTCACGTGGCACATTCCTCTGGCTTTCGAGATGCACAAGTCACCTAGAGGAAACCCAGGCAGAGCAGGGGGGGGGGGGGGGTTGAGGAGCATGCAGAGTCGACAGAGGAAATCACCCGAGTGGGGAATTAAACCGAGGCCCTTCCTGCACAAGGAACGCGAGTTACCACTGCCACCACTCCACCACCCAGTCTGACCAAATGCACGATTTTTCTGGTTGCAGAGTACAATAATCACGTAAACTAGAAGTGTCACAAGTGGATATTTAAGCCATCCAACGACAGGGCAGATATATATGTTTGTATACAAAGCTGGGTTATGAGGTTTTCCAGAACGCCTTAACAGCTATTTGTATGGGCTGCTTCAGGGCTGCTTATCGAACTGCTTCTGGTGGTGGGGTCCAGGATCTTTGCTTCCGTTTGTTTCACATCTTGGAGACGTCCGAAGTTCGTCTGGACGTGTGACCGGGTTCCTTGCGTCCCCGTTTACCCCGACCCTGGACTCGCGTCGGCTCGAGGCTGTCGTAGAGAACCTCCCTGTGGCCCAGCGCCTCGTACTGCGCAGACACAAAATACCGCACTCACATGGTCAGTAGCGGCCGCCGTCAATGAGACTCGCGGAGAATTACAAGCAATCATTCAGGGTGCATGGCAGACCACGCTGCTCTCATATCAATACCTTCCACTCCAGCAGGCGAATAGTCCACTCTCAACACCACCACTCAACCCATTCTACCTTACTTACGACCATTTTAAATTGAACAGTTAAGGCCCAATGAGCTATGGAGCAGTTTTTTTTAAGAAGCGATCTGTCTATCACTAGCGATAGCTCAACGAAATGGCTGATATCATCACGTGGACATTTGTAGCAGAAGCCAAATACATAGAGACCCATAGAGACACAGAGACTCATAGAGTTCCATACAGACCAATAGATACACACAGAAACTCATAGAGATACATACAGACTAATGGAGACACACATAGACTCATAGAGATGCATACAGACCAATAGAGACACACAGAGAATCATAGTGAATTATACAAACCAAAAGAGACACACAGAGACTCATAGAGATGCATACAGACCAATAGAGACACACAGAGACTAATAGAGATGCATCGAGACTTTACCAGGTAATGCCCTACTGGGCTGTGGAGCTCTTTTTCAGGAGCGACCATCACAAGTTCATAGTTCACTCACTCACTCCCACAGTCACTCACCCACTCATTCACTCACCCACTCAGTCACACACCAACCCACTCAGTCAGACACCCACTCACCAAGTCACACACCACTCACCTACTCAGTCAGACACTCACCCACCCACTCACTGACTCACCCACCCACTCAGTTACCCACTGACTCAGCAACAGATGGAGCCTCGCTTATTGAAGGTGGCAGTTCATTGCACAGCCTCTGTGAACCACGATACTGGCTCAGGTGTGGGATTGGCCAATTGCACATCTGTTGTCGCAGGCCACGCTGTAATTCACTTAATTTCTGGTCGTTCAACAAACCTCGAGCGCGACACAAAGCAAGCGATCACAGAACAAGAAGGGGGTGGACGTGGGGCTTGACGAGGAGGGAGGGGAGGATCGGCCTCACTGCCCCACCCACGTGGGTGGGTGGGGGGGATCCTCTAAGCAGAGAAGTGAAAGTTTACATGGAGGGGGTGGGGGGTGGGGGGTGGGGGGAAGGGGGAGGGGAGGATAGCAGCAGGCAGTGCCGCATTGAGCGAGGTGCGGGGGCCCTAAAAAAATTAATCCGTAATAAGTATAACCCGTAAAATCAAAAAATTTCACTCTAAATCCTTTATATGCGTGGCGGCTAGAGTCCTCTCGTCCTCTTGAGATGGCTGCCACCTATGGGTCAGATGATTGTCTGCAGTATTAAACAATTGGTAATTAAATATTTAATTAGTTTTCCCTAAACAGTGTAAAATTTTGGAAAAAAATTTTCACGAACATTAATTGTCTCGCACAACGAGTCTGTGTGCAGAATGTCAGCTCGATTGGATCACGGGAAGTGGGTTAAAAAACGACCGAAAGGTTTGCACGGTCGTAAGCAAGCAAGCAAGCACGCAAGCAAGCAAGCAAGCACGCAAGCAAGCAAACTTAATATAAAGGATTTAAAAACAAAGTTTTTCACTATAAATCCTTTATATGCGTGGCAGCACAATGATTTTGTGTGCAAAATGTCAGCTCGATTAGATCACGGGAAGTGGGTGAAAAAACGACCGAAAGATTTGCACGGTCGTAAGCGCGCAAGCAAACAAGCAAGTGAACTTAATATAAAGGATTTAAAAATTAACCCGTAAAAACAAAGTTTTTCACTATAAATCCTTTATATGTGTAAAGTAGTAACTCGGCAGGAGACGACTTCACGGGTAGCACACTCTTTATTTTCACCAACTTGTAGTTACACGGATGACTAACACCCTACTTCGTTACACGGGTGACCAACACCCACTTAGCTACACGGGTGACGGACACCCACTCCGCTACACGGGTGACTAACACCCTACTTCGTTACACGGGTGACCAACACCCACTTAGCTACACGGGTGACGGACACCCACTCAGCTACACGGGTGACTAACACCCTACTTCGTTACACGGGTGACCAACACCCACTTAGCTACACGGGTGACGGACACCCACTCAGCTACACGGGTGACTAACACCCACTCAGCTACACGGGTGACCAACACCCACTCAGCTGTACTGACACGGGCTCTTACGCCCCGTAGCCTTCCGGGACACACCCAGCCGGGATGCCCGTCTCGGCTCTGGGTACCACCGTCCCGACCCACACGGGCGTCGGACCACGGTCCCCCCAGTCTCGGCTCCGAGCCACACAGGGCCCCGGTCCCCACAAGGACGGCGGGACTAGGAGTCTCGGGCCACTACCTCCTCCACCCCGTCTTCGATCTTCAACTGGTTAACACTGACCACGAGTGCTCTCGCGCGTCTCCCTTTATACCCCTCCTGCGGACGTCGCTGAGAGTACCCACTTATCTGACCAATCACTGCGCACTCGCTACGATCCTCCTTTCCCAGCTTGTGTCAGCGCGCCTTACCACCGGCGCGCGCGTCCATGCCACGCCCACATCGCGTGCCCAACCCCGCGCCCCGTGATCCATCACTGTCGGCACACGTCAATACCACCACTACATCACCCCCTACCACATAGCTCGCAGCCGACCCGGCTGCTAATAAAACATACAACACCCCTTCACCCCCATGTGTGCCCCGTAACATAACAACAAACCCTAACAACACAACATGAACACCGCAATCCGCAAAACCCAGCAACCGCCACACCCCCAACAAGAACAACATGCACAATCCGGCGAGTGGCAACGATACTGTGTATGCGGAAAGAATAACAATAAAAAAATTTCTTTATTCATTTCCTCTTCTTTTCTCTCCGACTCATGCAGCGTCCCAATGTGTCCGAGCGTCCCTTGAACGGGACATTACCCCGGCAGAGGGGGAAGCCGGCAACGAGGTCGGGCTTTAACAAAAAAAGAATTTTTTTTATTTTTTTTCATGAAAAGTGTTGCGTCCTTGCCCGAGTCCGCCTTGCCGGACCGTCGTACGGCACAGGACGCAGTTGGCCATCCGGCGGCGCCGGCAGTTCAAGAAGGCATGGGCCAGGCATCGGGGCTCCGCGCGAGCCGCGGGGTTCCGGTTCCCGACGGTCAACAGCCGTCAGGTCCGAGACACCTGGGGGTGGGTCAGGTGGAGACACGTGAGGATCAGCCTGCGACACATCCCTCCCCGAGTCGACGGTCACATCACACGCTCGGTCGTCACGGCACAACCCGGGGTCACGCGGCGCCGCGTAGGGTTTCAGTCGGGAGGGGTGCACGTACCAACGGCGTTTTCCCCATTTAATCTGTATACTCTGGGGTCGTGCAACCCGCACAATTTCCACCGGTCCCCTCCATGGTCTCAACAGTTTGGGGGACGTAGCCAACGGTGCGTGTGGACAATGCAGCCAGGCCTTATCGCCCGGTTCCCAATTGTGCGTATGCACCTTCCGTTCATGCAATCGCTCGTTCGCGATCTGCCGAGAGCGTGAATTCAATCTCGCAGCCTCTCGCGCCTCAGTCAATTTGGCAATGTTAAACTTAATGTGGTCTGCCAATTTTGATTTAGCACGTGGCTGTGAAATCCCCAGTTGGACGTCCATGGCCGGATCAGCCTCCCGCCCATACATCAGAAAAAATGGAGAAAACCCCGTCGCCGCATGGGGTGCCATCCGATAGGCCGCTAGTACCCCCGGTACCTGTAAGTCCCAATCTACCTGGTCGTCGCAAACCTGTTGGCACAGCATAGACGTAATCGTCCTGTTCAGACGTTCAACCATACCGTCAGTCTGCGGGTGGTACGGGGAGGTACGTACTTTCTTTGTACCCAACAGGTCGCACACCTCGCGCAACAAAACACTCGAAAAGTTTTTCCCCTGATCCGTCAGCAAGCGTTCGGGGGCGCCTTTGTCCAAAACGTAACCTTGGACAAAGGCGTCCGCCACTGCCGCAGCCGACTGGTTGGCGAGTGGCCACGCCATGGGCCAGCGGGTGAAGTACTCTACGCCAACCAGCAGGAACTTATTTCCCCGAGGTGTAGTGGGAAAGGGCCCCAAGATGTCTAGCGCGACCAATTCGTTCGTGCGCGAAACTTGAATGGATTGAAGCGGTGGATTAGCCGCTATTGGTGGCGGTTTTCTTTTAGCGCACCCTACACACCCCTTAAGAATGTTCGCCACGTCATTGCCCATCCCAGGCCAATAGTAGTCTCGCTGAATGAGGGCGAGCGTTTTGTGAAACCCCAGATGCATGAGTCGTTCATGGGCAGCCAGGACGACCTTACCCTGTACAGCAACCGGCACCACTAGCATGTGACGCCGGGACATGGAGTCCCACTTCATCAAGAGGCCCTGCCTGCACACCCAGGAACCGACCCGCGTTTCCCCGCCCTCGGGAATGTTAACCTTCCGACGTAGCGCGAGTAGGGAGCTGTCGGCCATTTGCAGACGGCCCCACTCGATGAGAGGCAATGCTAACAGCGAGTCCCTCCCCGTGGGGGCGTCAACCCCCGTAGTATCCGTGGCGGCTAGCACCACTTCCGCGGGGACATCGACAGAAGGTTTACACCGCGCCGATCCGAACTGACATGCGCATTCCGTACGCGTCGGCAACCGTGACAATGCATCCGCATTCGAGTGGCGCAACCCCTTGCGGTAAATCGTCGTGAATTGGTAGTCCTGAAGGACCTCCAACCATCGGGACAATTGGCCGGATGGCTGCGCCACCCGCATAGCGTATTGGAGAGCCGCATGGTCCGTGCGAACCGTAAAGTGACGGCCATACAGATACGGCCTGAATTGCTGTATAAAAAACACAATCGCCAGCAATTCACGCCGTGTCACGCAGTAGCGTTGTTCCGCTGGGGACAGAACCCTGCTACCGTAGGCGACCACCCGTTCGACCCCCCCGACCACCTGTGAGAGCACTCCCCCGATACCTGTGTTACTGGCATCCGTGTC